ATGAGCCACCACGCCCAGCCAACGAAGCAATTTTTAAGAAGGATACCAGGCTCCGTGGCTCACGCCTATAATCCCAGCACTTTGGATGGCTGAGGCAGGAGGATCACTTGAGCCTAGGAGTTCAAGACCAACCTGGACAACAGAGCGAGACCCCATCTCTACAAAAAATTTAAAAATTAGCCAGATGTGGTGGCGTGTGCCTGTAGTCCGAACTACTCTAGCGGCTAAGACAGGAGGATCCCTTCAGCTCAGGAGTTCGAGGCGGAAGTGAGCAATGATGGTCCCCCTGCACTCCAATCCTTGCAACAGACTAAGACACTATCTCTAAAAAGAAACAAAAAGAACCAGAAAAATCATCTCAGCCTGCTAACCCAACTCCTTTCATTTCTCCATGTTCCCTGTCCACAGTGGGTGCATGAGTACCTGTGTTGCTGCTGCTATGACAGCAAGCACACCCCGCTAAAGTCAGCTTTTCCCACTCAACCTATCATCTTTTACCCTTTCCACCTCCTCTTCAAAATGAAGATTTGCAGTGATAAGAATTTTGAAACCATATAGCTTGTTAACTTTACTTCATTTTTTTGTTTTGTTTTGTTTTGTTTTGTTCTTTGAGACAGAGTCTCACTCTGTTGTCCAGGCTGGAGTGCCAGTGGCACAATCTCTGCTCTCTGCCACCTCTGCCTCCCAGATTCAAGCAATTCTCCTGCCTCAGCCTCCCGAGTAGCTGGGATTACAGGCTTACAGGCGTGTGCCACCACGCCCAGCTAATTTTTTGTATTTTTAGTAGAGATGGGGTTTTACCATGTTGGCCAGGATGGTCTTGAACTCCTGACGTCAAGTGATCCACCAGCCTCGGCCTCCCAGAAGTGCTGGGATTACAGCCTGCTTTGTATTCTAGTAATTAACTAGGAATGGTTTTCTTTTGAAACCAATTTGCATTCACATAGGCATTGGGTGAGAATGAGCTTGACTTTGCACAAAATCAATCCTATCCTCCTCTTTTTCTCCTGAGGGAGACAGATTAAGGCTTATCAGGGAGAGGAGGAAAGAGAGGTTTGATATCTCGGAGACCGCTAACTTGAAGACTCATCAGGAAATCTGGAATCAGAGAGTCCTCTCCTGACACCGTTGACAAATTCAGACTTCCAAGGCCCAGAAAGACCTCAGGAAGCCTTCAACACTTAGGCTGTCAGAAGAACAACAGCGCTGCTGGCAGTCCCTCCTCAGCGCCCTGCCAATTGCTTTCTCAGGTGCCGTGTCAAAATGGAATCTCTGGTTCCAGCCATAAAACCAAGATGGAATTTTTGGTTTGGGTTACTTCAGTGACCAGGCCAGGGAATAACCAAGTAGGCAGGAGTCGTGGTCCTTGACTACAAGGGTCTTTAGTAAAAGCAATACCTGCTTCGACTTCAAGCAGGAGGGGTGAGTAAACAGCACCTCTTGAGTAGGCAGCCTGGGTGACAGGGATCTCTGATCCAGGATGGGTCTTCCTTAGCTGGTGACTAAGGAAAGAGCGTTCAACTGAAGCCCAGAGCCCTGGGTTCTAGTCCCTTCTCTTCTCTGGGCACCAGGGCATACAGGGTTGGCTTAGGTCAGAGCATGCTAAGGCCAAGAAAGTAACAGAATAGACTGTTAGGTCTATCAGCCATCACACCACTCTCTTGGTCTGGCTCTCCCTTAATTAAGAGAAAATCGTGGATTCAGAGGTAGAAGGAGAGGCCTGTGGTGGAGCCAGCTCACAACTTAGAGAATTAAAGTCACTTTTTGTTGTCGTTTTTGAGACGGAGTCTCCCTCTGTCCCCCAGGTTTGAGTGCAGTAGCACGATCTCAGCTCACTGCAACCTCTGCCTCACGGGTTCAAGCAATTCTCCTACCTCAGCCTCCCGAGTAGCTGGGATTATAGGCATGCGCCACCACACCCGGTTAATTTTTTATTTTTGCATTTTTAATAGAGATGGGGTTTCGCCATGTTGCCCCGGCTGGTCTCAAACTCCTAACCTCAAGTGATCCACCCACCTCGGCCTCCTGAAGTGCTAGGATTACAGGCGTGAGCCACAGCGCCTGGCCCTGGAGTCACTTTTTTAAAAACTGACTTTCCACATGCTTTGGAGAACCAAGAGGACACAGTACAGATTGTGAATCGGATGAGCTCCTTTGTATGAAACTTTCAGAGTAGCAGGGGAGTTATAAGGAACTAAAGCAGGAGGAAACACAACTGAAAATGACAAGAGAAAATCTTAACCAGCACAAAAGCAAAGTTCTGCATTTAAGTTTAAAGGAAGATGAACCCTGTGAAGCCAGGATATATTGCAGGGAACAGGACAAGAATGCAATTGAAAGCCCCTAACGGAGAAAAAAAAAAACCCCATACGTTTGTTTTGTGTTGTTTTGTTTTTGAGATGGAGTCTCACTCTGTGCCCAGGCTGGAGTGCAGTGGTGGTATCTCGGCTCACTGCAATCTCCGCCTCCCGGGTTCAAGCAATGCTCTTGCCTCAGCCTCCTGAGTAGCTGGAATTACAGGTACGCATCACCATTCCCAGACAATTTTTGTATTTTTAGTAGAGACGGAGTTTCATCATGTTGGCCAGGATGGTCTCAATCTCCTGACTCGTGATCCGCCCGCCTCGGCCTCCCAACGTGCTAGGATTACAGGGGTGAGCCACCGTACCCGGCCCAAAAAACCCATGTTTAAAAGCATACACTAAAAACACCAACAGAGCCTTCTGGCTTCTGGAGAAAGTGGGTCCCGTGGCGAGCTGACCAAGGGTCCAGCTGCCCTCACGGTTGTCAGAACACAGCTGCAGGAGCAGGCTCTAAGACAGTCAAGGACACTGGCAGTGTCCAGGGAGAGCTGCAAGGCTGAGGACCATTCTCGGGTGCCAGTAGGAGGAAGATGCAGCTCTGAGGAGAATAAAGAAAAGATGTGCTGAGGAGAGGGTGAGCTAGCTGCCCTCAAATATGGGCAAGGCCCTCAGGCAAAGGAGGTCAGCAAATCGGGCAGTCCAAAAGCACTGCCTCTCGGATCACAAGACCTCTCCCCACCCCGAACAGGAAGCGTGGGCTCAGAGAAGAGGTGGTAAGGTAACAAAAGAGGCACCAGGCCAGGCTCAGTGGCTCACGCCTGTAATCCCAGCACTTTGGGAGGTCAACACGGGTGGATCAATTGAGGTCAGGAGTTCAAGACCAGCTTAGACAACATGGTGAAACCCCATCTCTACTAAAAATACAAAAATTAGCCAGGCGTGGTGGCATGTGCCTGTAATCCCAGCTATTCGGGAGGCTGAGGTAGGAGAATCACTTGAACCCGGGAAGTGAAGGTTGCAGTGAGGGCCAAGATCGAACCACTGCACTCCAGCTTGGGAAACAGAGTGAGACACCGTCGCAAAGGAAAAAAAAAAAAAAAGAGGCACCAGGTGGGCCTAGTTGGTCTCAAAATTGCCACCGCTCCAGGTCAGGCAGGGTGACTCACGCCTGTAATCCCAACACTTTGGGAGGCTGAAACGAGCTGACTTCATGAGCTCAGGAGTTCAGGACAAGCCTGGGCAACGTGGCAAAAACCCAGCTCTACAAAAAATAGAAAAATTAGCTGGGTTGTGGTGTGCACCTGTAGATCTAGCTACTAGGCAGGCTGAGGCAGGAGAATCTCTTGAGACCAGGAGGCAGACGTTGCAGTGAACCGAGATCGTGCCACTGCACTCCAGACTGGGCAACAGAGGGAAACCCTGTCTCAAAAAAAAAGAAGAAAAAGGAAAAAACTGCCACCACTCCAAGCCTCTAGGGCAGTACTTCTCAAACCTATTTGCTTAGGGATCACCTGGGATCTTATTAAAATGCAGACTCTCATTCAGCAGGTCTGGGTTGGGCCTGAGATTGTTCACTTCTAACAAGCTCCCAAATGATGCTATTGTAACACTGGTCATCTAGGAACTACCCTGGTAACTAGGCGATAGACTACTTTCAAGTCAGAGGAGAAGGCTGGGGAAGGCTTCTCTGTGGTCCAGCCTCATAGAAGGGCAATCCTAGGGTCAGAGTGGCCTACAAGCTACAGGAGCCCCAAGGAGGAGGATAGTGGCTTAGGAGAGAGGTGGTCTCCTGGAGGTATACGCCAATTTAACAAGAGGGAGTCTCCAGTAAAAATTTTCTTAGGGGAAAGGGGGGAGTCAAGCTGTAGGTGTTCGCTCCCTAAAACAACTCAGCACCTCAAAATTAGCTCTCAGGAGCAGAAACTAACGTCTTGCTGCCACACTTCTCTAGACAAAATCAGCTCTGCCCCACCCACTCCACAAAAGCTCTCTGCCGAGTCTTCCTCTAGGGGAGAGGTGACTGCAGGCTGGGAGACTCCCCAGCTGTGACTCAGACCGACGGAATCCAATCTGTTCCCTGAGGCTCAGCATTCACCAGATCCTGACCTCCCCCTCTGCCTGGCCCCAGCCCACCTTTCCAAGCCCCACCTCTCACTCCAGGGGCCACCCCTCGCCCACCCCACTTCCCTGTCTCTGGCTCATCTTCAGATGTGTCCCCAGCTCCCAACCCTTCCAAGCGCAGCCGAGTTTCTCGGTCCACATCGCCTCGATATTCCCACAGCATCTGCATAGTCTCTCTTTAAAAAAAAAAAAAGTGTGTGCCCCTATCGCCGTTTTACGGAAGGTCCCTGGAAGGTTCCTCGAGTGGCCCTCTCGGATGCTGAGGTACTGTCAGCGCCCCTTTGTCTCCCCGTGCGGCGCCGAGCGCAGTGCAGGACACACAGGAAGTGCTCCGAAACAGGGCTAAGGTGGGGGCGGCAGCCGTGCCCGGAGGGGGCGCCCAGAGCGCAGGGACTCGGCCGGGCCGAGTGACGTTCCCCCCAAAAAACAAGAGTCACCAGCATGAGGGCCAGGGACCCCGAGTTCAGAGCCAGGCAGCCCTCGGAGCCGGAGCCAGGCTGGCCGGGTCCCGGGCGGGCATCCCTTCCTTCCGGAGCCCCTCGACGCGCGTCCGGCCACCCACCTCAGTGCACTCACCTTGTAAACCTTGCCGAAGGCGCCGTCGCCCAGCTCGCCCACAATCTCCCACACCTCGTTGGGGTCCAGGTCGCGGCGGACGTGCTCATATTCGCGGGACTTTCTCTTCTCGAAGGTAGACAGGCGCAGGATGCGGCGGAAATTGGCAAAAGCCATGGCCGGGGGCGCCGGGGCGCCGGCTTGGGCTCGGGCTCGGGCTCGGGCTCGGGCTGTGGCTTCGGCGGCCGCGAGGAGAAGGAGGAGGAGGAGTTGGAGGACGCCGCGGCTCTCGGGGTTCTCCCCAGACCCGCCCTTCCCTGCAGCCCGACCCCGGTCAAGTGTGCCCTGGGCAGCGCCGCGCCGGGAGCACCCGGAACCGCGCAGACGGCGGCGTCCCCGCCCCCGCCCTGTCCGGTCCGGTCCCCGGGGCCGCCTCCCTTGTGCCGGCCCCGCAGCCCCCGCCCGGCGCAGCCCTGCCTGCGAGAGCCTCGGACCCGTTCCGGGGGACCGTCCCCGCGCCCGCCCAGCGGCCGGGCTCCACCTGCCGCTCCCCGGCAGAGCCCCGAGACCCCCTAATTGGCTGCGGGCGCTCCCCGGCTCCGCCCGTCGCCGCAGGGCACTCTGGAAACTGTAGTCCCCGCACACCACGCGCCGCGAGCCGCGGGCTGGGCTTTGGAGAAGCTTAGGGGACCGCTCGGTGGGACCGCTCATGGACTCTGGAGCCAGCCCGCCGCGCCTCGTGGCTCCCAGAACTTTTGTGGGAGCGAAGGGGACGGCGACTTGGCATTTCGCGAGAGCCCACGGATCGCTGTCAGCGCCCAGAAGGTGAACCTGCACTTGTTCATTTAATCCTCCCGCAGCTATCCCGCGAGGCTGCCCTCGCCCCCACTTTTCCTATGGGGACGCCCGCAGGCGAGGGCACTCGCCCCGGGTACACACGCTGGCTGCTCGTCTCCTGCGGGTTCCTCGGCGCGGTGCTGCCTCCTAGTGTGCGACGGGCAGCGCCTGTGGAGCCGCGGCCAGTCCCTGCAGGCCCCGGCTTCCTGGCGCGGTCCTGCTTTCCAGGGGCTCCCCGTCCGCGATCCACAAACCTGCGATCCACAAACCTGCGATCCACAAACCTGCCATGATTAAAGAGCTGGAAGAAAGAGCTCCTTTGGCACTGATTTATCTTATGCTTCATGATGGGTTTGCAGATGTATTTGCATATTAAATAAAAACTTTATTCTAATTTTTAATTTCCTGGTTTCAAAAAAGATGAGCGCACTACATACAGATCAAACTGAAGTCTTCTTTGAGCACCTTTCTCGATCCTGGCCACCTGAGTCACTTCACTGCTACTGTTGCCTGTTTGTCCTATAAACGGTTATAACATGCTTTTAGCTGAATCTAAGGAGAGTGCTGGGGGCGGGTAGTCTGCAAGGCTTATTATTTGGACGCTGTGTCATAAACAAGTTGAGTCTTCGCGAATGTCACACTTCAGTAGCTCCAACCCCAGAGAACGGCTGCGTTGAGGTGTTTTCGCCCCTTCTTCGGTGCTTTGTTGGAAAATATCTCTTGAGCAGTGTTCAAACACCAAGCATGGTTTTCCACTGGGAAAGCCAGCTAAAGAAGCCTGCGATGCTGGTAGTGGTCGGCACAGAGTGTCCTGAGTAAAGGTTGCTAAGCCGTTCAGAATGTTTCCACAGCTGCAGGAGTGCCTGGAATTGTACACGGTCTTTAAAAGAAGGAAATGCTGCTCATCGCTGACCGTTCTCATTGAGTCAGGCGCTGTCTGAACCTCCTAGAACATGCTGAAAGCCATACCAAAGGGGTGGGGAGACCAAGAATGTTGTTCCATACTAGGAGATGAAGGCTCTGACTTCCCGAAAGCTGTAGGCCTGGAGGGCTGTGAAGGTCAGAGGTCTCTGACCAGCTCTAAGAGCTTCAGGGGAAAGAGAGAGAGAGAGAGAGAGAGAGAGAAATGGAGAGGTTCATTCATTCAATAACATTAAGTGAAAGAAACCAGACACAAAATCCTGTGTTCTATAAACTTCCATTTATATGAAATGTCTAGAAAAGGGAAATCCATACAGACAGAAAGTAGATTAATGGTTGCCTGGAACAGGGTATGAAATGGGAATTAACTGTACATGAACAATAAACAGTCTAATTGGGGGTGATGAAAATGTTCTAAAACTGCACAATGGGGACAATTTCATAACTTAGTAAATTTGCCAAAAATAACTGAATTTCAAACTTTCATTTTTGTAAATAAATGAATTTTTTGTGTATATTATACCTCAATAGCGTTGTAAAATACATTGAGGTTCAATAGAATCAAAGCTACTTCTTTGAAATAACTAATAGACAAGACTAGTCAAAGAAAAAGAAAAAAAGGGTTGGGCACAGTGGCTCACACCTGTAATTCCAGCACTTTGAGAGGCCAAGCTGGGTAGATCACCTAAGGTTAGGAGTTCAAGACCAGCCTGGCCAACATGGCAAAACCCCAGCTCTATGAAAAATACAAAACTTAGCTGGGCAGGGTGGTGCATGCCTGTAATCCAAGCTACTTGGGAGGCTGAGGCAGAAGAATCACTTGAACCCAGAAGATGGAGGTTGCAGTGAGCCGAGATCACGCCATTGCACTCCAGTCTAAGCAATAGAGCAAGACTCCATCTCAAAAAAAAAAAAAGAAAAGAAAAGAAAAAGAAAAAAAATTGGTGAAAGAAATATTCACTGGAAGAAATAAAAATGAAAAGGGAACATAATATTAGATACTGTAGATATTTTGATAATCATAAAGTGATATGTTAGACAAATTTATGTGAATAAATGTTTTAATTTACATAAAATGGGTAATTATTGAGAAGAAAATATAAATGATAGGTAAAAGATAAATAATTTCAATAAGAAATAAAAACCTAAATAAACTAGTAACCAATAAAGAAATCAAATCAAGAATCAGGCCAGGCACAGTAGCTCATGCCTGTAATCCAAGCACTTTGGGAGGCTGAGGTTGGTGGATCACGTGAGGTCAGGAGTTCAAGACCAGCCTGGGCAACATGGTAAAACCCAGTCTCTACTAAAAATACAAAAATTAGCCGGGTGTGGTGGTGTGTGCCTGTGGTCCCAGCTACTCATGAGACTCAGGCACGAGAATCCCTTGAACCCAGGAGACGGAGGTTGCAGTGAGCCAAGATCATACCACTGCACTCAAGCCTGGGCAACAGAGTGAGACTCTGTCTCAAAACAAAAACAAACAAAAACCCAAAAACCAACAATGAAAATAAAGAATCAAAAGCTTGTCCTTGCTGAAAGACATTAGTCTGATTTTACGAATAATTGCTTTCTTTATATAAATTATTTTAAGAGATAGAAAATGAAGGAAATCTGCCAATTTATTTTATGAGATGAGTTTTACTATTACTAGATAAGGACAGTAAAAGAAAATTGTAAGCCAGGCACAGTGGCTTATACCTGTAATTCCAGCACTTTGGGAGGCTGAGGTGGGAGGATCACTTGAGCCCAGGAGTTTGAGACCAGCCTGGGCTACAGAGTGAGACCCTGTTTCTACAAAAAGTCAAAAAATTAGCCAGGCGTGGTGGTGCACACCGGTGGTCCCAGCTACTCGGGGAGGGGGGTTGAGGCAGGAGGATTCCTTGAGCCCAGGAGGCTGAGGCTGCAGTGAACAGTGATTTCACCACTGCACTCCAGCCTGGTCTCCAGTGAGACCCTGTCTTAAAAAGGAAGGGGAGGAAAGAGAAAAAGAAAATTGTAGATTAATTTCATTTCTTTTTTTTTTTTTTTTTTTTTTTTTTTTTAAACAGAGAGTCTCGGTGTGTCGCCAGGCTGGAGTGCAGTGGCGTGATCTCACCTCACTGCAACCCTCTCTCCCAGATTCAAGCAATTCTCCTGCTTCAGCCTCTCCAGTAGCTGGGACTACAGGCACACGCCACCATGCCCAGCTAATTTTTGTATTTTTAGTAGAGATGAGATTTCATCGTGTTGGCCAGGATGGTCTCAATCTCTTGACCTCGTGATCCACCCGCCTCAGCCTCCCAAAGTGCTGGGATTACAGGCATGATCCACCATGCCCAGCCTAATTTCAGTTCTTAGAAAGACAGGGAAAATATCAATACTAGCAAGATCAAACGAGAGGTGAATAAAAATATCACAACCACGAAAGGTTAATCCAGAAATAAGAGAATGGTTCTACATCAGAAAATCTACTACAATAGCACTGCATTGGCAGAGTAAAGGAGAAAAATCAGTCTTAATAGTCACAGAAAAAGCATTCGATAGTATTCTTAGGTTGGACTCCTTTAGAGACTGACCCTGAAGCAAGGATTTGAGTGTAAGTGGTTTATTTGGGAATGAGTAGGGAGTGGAAAATTAAGACAGAGGAGGGGCTGGGCACCATGGCTCACACCTGTAATCCCCAACACTTTGGGAGGCTGTGGTGGGAGGATAGCTTGAGGCCAGGAGTTCAAGACCAGCCTTGGCAATGTAGCAAGATCCTCTATCTCTCCAAAAAATACCAAAGTTAGCCAGGGGCGTGGTGGCACATGGGCATAATCCCAGCTATCAGGAGGTAGATGGGGGAGGATGGCTTGAGCCTGGGATTCAAGGCTGCAGTGAGGTATGACCACACCACTGCACTCCAGCCTGGGAGACAGAGTGAGACCCTGTCTCAAAATAATAAGAATAAGAATAATCATGGCCAGGCACAGTGGCTCACACCTGTAATCCCAGCACTTTGTGAGGCCAAGGTGGGCGGTTCACTTGAAGGCAGGCATTCAAGACCAGCCTGGCCAACATGGTTAAACCTCGTCTCTACTAAAAATACAAAAACTGGGCTGGGCACAGTGGCTCACGCCTGTAATCTCAGCACTTGGGGAGGCCGAGGCGGGTGAATCACGAGGTCAGGAGTTCAAGACCAGCCTGGCCAACATGGTGAAACCCCGTCTCTACTAAAAATACAAAAAAAATTTAGCCGGGCATGGTGGTGGGTGCCTGTAATCCCAGCTACTCGGGAGGCTGAGGCAGGAGAATCACTTGAACTCGTGAGGCGGAGGTTGCAGTGAGCCAAGATCGTGCCACTGCATTCCACCCTGGGTCACAGTGTGAGACTCCATCTCAAAAAAAAAAAAAAAAAAACAACTACAAAAATTGGAATGGATGCAGGGGCTCATGCCTGTAATCCCAGCACTTTGGGAGGCCAAGGTGGGTGGATCACGAGGTCAGGAGTTCAAGACCAGCCTGGCCAAGATGGTGAAACCCTGTATCTAGTAAAAATACAAAACTTAGCAGGGCGCGGTGGCAGACGCCTGTAATCCCAGCTACTTGGGAGGCTGACGCAGGAGAATTGCTTGAACCCAGACAGCAGAGGTTACAGTGAGCTGAGATCGCACTACTAAACTACAGCCTGGGTGACAGAGCAAGACTCCATCTCAAAATAAATAAATACATACATACATACATACATACATACATACATACATACAAAAATTAGCCGGGCATGATGGCAG